CCCAACACCCATTTTAAAAAAATATTTTTTAATTGATTTCAGATAGGAAGGAAGAGGGAGAAAGAGATAGAAACATCAATGATGAGAGATAAATATTAATTAGCTGCCTCCCGCATGCCTCCTACTGGGGATTAAGCCTACAAGCAGTCATGTGCCCTTGACCAGAATCAAACCCGGGACCCTTCAGTCTGCAGGCAGATGCTCTATCCATTGAGCCAAACCAGCTGGGGCCCAACACCCAATTTTTATAAAAACTGTCAGCAAAATTGGAATAGAGGGATCATATCTCAATATAAAAAAGGCCATATGTGATAAATGTATAGGCAACATAATACTCAATGGGCAAATACTAAAACCATTTCCCCTAAGAACAGGACCAAGACAGGGATGTCTGCTTTCACCATTCTTATTCAACATAGCACTGGAAATCCTAGCCACAGCAATCATCAAAGGCATCCAAATTGGAATGGAGGAAGTGAAACACTCATTATTTGCAGATAACCTGATATTGTAAAGAGAAAATCCAAAAGATTCCACCAAAAAACTACTTGATTTAATAAGTGAATTTGGCAATGTAGCAGGATACAAAATTAACACCCAGAAATCTATGGCATTTTTATACACCAATAATGAATTCACCTGACCAAGGAGGTAAAAGACATGCATTCAGAATCTACAAGACACTGAAAAAAGAGATAGAGGAAGATATAAACAAGTGGAAGAATATACTGTGCTCATGGATTGGTAGAATCAACATCATTAAAATGTCCATACTACCCAAAGCACTCTATAGAGTCAATGCAATCCCCATATTTTATTATTTTTATTTTTAAAAAATATTTTATTGATTTTTACAGAGAGGAAGGGAGAGGGATAGAGAGCTAGAAACATTGATGAGAGAGAAACATCAATCAGCTGCCTTCTGCACACCCCCTACTGGGGATATGCCCGCAACCAAGGTACAGGCCCCTGACTAGAATCGAACCTGGGACTCCTGAGTCTGCATGCCGACGCTCCATCCACTGAGCCAAACCAGTTATGGCAGCAAGCCCCATATTTTATAGATCTAGAACAAATACTACAAAAATTTACATGAAATCATAAAAGACCCCAAATATCCACAATAATCTTGAAAAAGAACAAAGTTGGAAGAATCACAATACCAGATATCAAGTTATACTACAAAGTCACTGTAAGAAAAACAGCCTAGTACTGGCACAACAACAAGCATATAGATCAATGGAACAGAACAGAGAACCCAGAAATCAACTGAAGCCATTATACTCAATAGCTGATGAAAGAGATAAGAACATACAATGGAAACAAGACAGTATTTCCAATAAATGCTGTTGGGGAAATTAGACAGATAAATGTAAAAAAATGATGACCAACTTACACGATACACAAGGATAAACTCAAAAATATATAAGTCGTGAAACCATAAAAATCCTAGAAGAAACCATAGGCAGCAAAATCGCACACATCTCCCATAGCAATATGTTTGTGGATCTCTCTCTCTAGGCAAGGGAAACTAAGGAGAAAATAAAACAGATGGGACTACATCAAAATAACAAGCTTCTACACAGCCACATAAACCATCAACAAAATGACAGGGAGCCCACTGTATGGAAAAACATATTTACCAATGATACATTTGGTAAAGGGTTAATATCCAAAATATATAAGAAACTCATACAACTTAACAAAATGAAGACAATCCAATTTTTAAAAAGGGGGCAAAGGACCTAAACAAACACTTCTCCAAAGTGAACATACAGATGGCCAAGAGACATATGAAAACATCCTCCAAGTCACTGATTATCAAAGAGATGCAAATTAAAATGACAATGAGGTATCACCTCACCTGTCAGAATGGCTACCATCAACAAATCAACAAATGGCAAGTGCTGGCGAGGATGCGAGAAAAGAGGATGCAGCCATTATGGAAAACAGTATGGAGTTTGCTCAAAAAGGTAAATACAGAACTGCCATTTGACCCAGTGATTCCACTTCTAGGAATCTACCCTAAGAAAACCAAAACACCATTCAGAAAGAATGTATGATCCCTATGTTCACAGCAGCACAATTTACAATAGCTAAGATCTGGAAACAGCCCAAGTGCCCATCAGCAGACAAGTGGATAAAAAAATCTGTGGTACATTTACACCGTGAGGTACTATGCCTTAGTAAAAAAGATTCTCTTAACCTTCGAGAGAGCATGGAAGGACCTGGAGAGTATCAAGCTAAGTGAAGTAAGTCAGTCAGAGAAAGACAAGTATCATGTGATCTCACTCATATGTGGAATCAAATGACCAAAATAAACTAATGAACAAAACGGGTTCAGAAGAGATCAACCAACGGACTTTTATGCATGCATATGAACATAACCAATGGACACAGACAGTAGGGGAGTGAGGGCATGTACTGGGGGGTGGGAGTAGCTAGGGAGAAGTCAATGAGGGAAAAAGACTTACTATGTAAGTATTTAAACAATAAAGAATTTAAATTAAAAAAATAGATTGAGACATAGAAGCTGGAACACTGTTGAATCTCAGAGGGAAGGAGGGACAGGGTGGATGGGTCACAAGCACCCAACCAAAGAACTTGTATGTATATATACATAACCCACGAACACAGACAATGGGGTGAAGGCCTGGGGCAGAGGACGGGTGCGGACTAGATGGGGTCAATGGGAGAAAAAAGGGTCATCTGTAATACTTTCAACAATAAAGCTTTTAAAAATAATAATAAAGATTTTTTTAAAAAACAACAACAACACAAAACAGTAAGAGGCAAAATAATAAACAGCTGCCTCCTGGTTTGGAAAACAGCTGACTGTTGCAGCAGGGGACAGTGGCCCTGCCCCAGCAAGGGACAAGGTGCAATGGGCTCAGTGAGCTAAAGGTCCGAAGCCAAAGCATGTTGAGGGCCCAGCTCCACTTGCAGAATAGTGTTAGGTCTGGACTTTGCAAAAATCAGAGCTCCAAGGGAATGAGAGTTATTATCCTAGTGCTTTTGTCTCTTAGGGTGCCCACAACAAAGGCTTATGTTGCTTCAAGAATAACTTCTGGCTAAAATCTCCAAGGCCATATGATTAACAAAGACGTCTGCTTTCCTGAGATGGAAGCTCAGTGTCTCAGCTCAGCCAGCTGCTTCAAATATTCCAGGAGCCTTCTCTGCGGAGCCGGATCGGGAGGAGAATCTGGTGAGAATTACAAGAGCAGCTTCTATTTTTACCTAACGTGTCAGCTGCACATGTCACCCTGACAGCACATTTGTTTTAGACAAGGCTATATTTACAATTCCCCAGAACAAAAAGAACAACAAAGTGGAGAGGAAAAGAACCAACCAAGCTAACTGATGTACTTGTTAAAAAAAGAAAAAATCTCTCAGAGATTTTCACTTGTAGAAAAAGTCACTTGTAGTAGATAGCTCAAAACTTACTAGTCAAGACCCCCTAAGAGCCTTGAGTACCCAAACAGAAGGATGGAAGGGGATTCTGTATCATAAACAACACTTTAATGAAGGTATTCATTCAACGAATGCAACTAACCAAAGTGTAAATTAGCTGTAGTGGGTGTGGGTCAGTGGTTAGAGCATCGGCCCACACACTGAAGGGTCTTGGGTTTGACTCCCAGTCAAGGCAACATACCTGGGTTGCAGGTTCAATATCTGGCTGTCAGAGCGCATCCAGAAGGTAATCAATCAATATGTCTCTCTCACATCAATGTTTCTCTCTCTCCCTCCCCTCTCTCTCTCTCTCTCTCTTTCTCTCTCTCTTCCCACCCCCCACCATCCTTCCCTCCTTTCACACTCTCTTTAAAAAAAAAAAAAAAAAAAGTCAATGGGAAAAATATCCTTGGATGAGGATTATCAGGAAAACAGTGTAAATGGGAATGAGGCAATACTATATGGTACAAAATCCCTGAGTTTCAAATAGAAAATAAATGAATAATATCCAGCAGAGAGGATTTGCTCATCACCATCACTGACACAGAGACTGGTATCAAGATAAGCAGCGGGAGCAAATGATGCAAATTATAAATGTTCAAATTAGAATGTTTTCATGTGCCCTTAAGTTCAGTAACTTACACAGAAATGTAATTACAGGCTTTCTGACCACCCAGCCACTGTGGCTCAGTGGTTGAACCGTCAACCTATGAACCAGGAAATCAGTTTGATTTCCAGTCAGGGCACATGTCAGGGTTGTGGCTGGATCCCCAGTGTGGGGGCATGCAAGAGACAGCGGATCAGTGATTCTCTCTGGTCAGTGATCTTCTATCTCTCTCCTCCTCTCCCTTTCTCTCTGAAATTAAAAAAAAAAAAAAAAAAAAATATATATATATATATATATATATATATATATTTTTTTTTTTTTTTTTTTTTTTTTTTTAAAAAGACTGACCATCCTTGTCAATATATTTTCAAAGCGGAGGCCTCCAATAGAGCTGAACAGAAGCCAGGGGCAGGAAGGCCTCACAGGAGAGGTGCTGTGAGCAGCCCCGACTGGACGGCAGGTTGCTAGGCTCCTCGGCTGAGTTTCAGCAGTTACGCAAGGGAGCAATGCTGCCGCAGCAACACAGAAAGGCGTCACAGGCATAGCACCCCGACCGGTTTCAAATGATCAACCCTCCCAATTAAGTGCCCTAAGAACTAGAGGTGAGAGTAATCTAATCCTGTTTATGTTGAAATGGCATCATTCAGAAACATTCTGTACCTCCCTTGATACAAAAATTAACATGTACTATTTGCACAGTCTCAGCAGAGTTCTGGTTGAGCAGAAAATTCAGTGTCACTATTACTACTTTGTACTAAGTGTCAAAATTCAACCATTTCATAATAAAAATATAGTAAAATTAGGCACACATCAACTCGATTATTCTTAGGTAGAAACTAGAATGCCAACTGCCAATGTTACATTTTCAAAATAGAAGTGGGAAGTCCCATCTCGTTTCCAGTTAGGTATCAGGGAAGATTAGCTCCAGACAGAACATGCTTACATCATCTCTGTATCGGGACTTGTGTATCACCACTGCTTTGGAAGGGACCGTGCACTCAGGTTTCCGGATGTTAAATTCAGGTTTTGGTCTGGTCTGTTCTTGAAGAATTTTCCACTCATCTAGGGTCATCTCTTGAACTTGAGTTTCTTCTTCTACCTCCAACTCAGGAACTCTGGAAAGTATGATCATAAAGAATTACTTTTGATGGGTCTGAAAAGTCTACTTTCTCAAAGAAAAAGTCAAAGAAAAAGTTTAACATACTTTCATGATACTGCATCTCAACTCTAAAGAAGGTAAGAAAAATCTTTGTGCTGAGACCGGTTTGGCTCAGTGAATAGAACATCGGCCTGCAGACTGAAAGGTCCGGGTTCAATTCCGGTCAAGGGCATGTACCTTGGTTGCAGGCACATCCCCTGTAGGGTTGGTGCAAGAGACAGCTGATCGATGATTCTCTCTCATCGATGTTTCTAACTCTCTATCCCTCTCTCTTCCTCTCTGTAAAAAATCAATAAGATATAATAAAATAAAAAAAGAAAAGAAAAATCTTTGGGCCAAAAGCTTCGTTTTATTTTCACAACTTTATGCCATCACTGCCAACGGAAGAGACTTCCTGTCTGTGCTCAAAGCAGTCTTTGAAAAATAGGAACATTGCCATCCCAATGACAGGCACCTGACCACCCGTAAAAAGAAATGATCCAACTCAAAACCAGGCAAGGCTCTGAATAGGCATTTTCCCAGATGGCACTGCACATGACATGAGATAATTGTAGAGGAAAGTGGGAGAAGCTACTAAGGTAAAACAAAGGAAACCATGAACACATTATAAAACAATGGGCAACAAATGCCCACTTTTATAAATAATCTCTTTTTACATGTTTATCGTTTTTAAAGAAAAAAAAAAAGATAAACATGTAATCAGAAATCTGGACTTTAAAGAAGTCCAGAAATAAACCCTCAAATCTATGGTCAACTGATTTTTTTTGGACCAGAATGCCAAAGACAAAAGAAAACAGTCTCTTCAAGAAATGGTGCTGGGAAAACTGGGTATTCATGGGCAAAAGAAAGAAGTTGAATCCCTACCTCACACCAAACTGTAAGAGCTGAAGTATGAAACTCTAGAAAACATAGCTGTAAACTTCATAACTTGGATTAGGCAATGGGTTTCTTATATATGACACCAAAAGCACAAGCAACAAAGAAAAAAGCAAATAAACTGGGCATCACCAAATTGAAAACTTTTGTGCTGCAAAGGATACCATCAGAAAAGTAAAAAAGACAATGCACAGAATGGTAGAAAACATGTAATCATCATATATCTGATAGTGAACCTCTATCTAAGAACATACCAAGGATTCTTACAACTCCGTAAAAAGAAATGATCCAACTCAAAACCAGGCAAGGCTCTGAATAGGCATTTTCCCAAAATAGGTCTGTGCATAGTCAATAAGATGCTCAATATCATCAGACCTCAGGGAAATGCAAATCCAAACCACATCAACTTTCATCACTCCACCAACACGGAGATGTTTAGACACAAAAGGCCATTTTAAAAGTGTTGGTAAGCACTGGCTCAGTTGGTTTGAGCGTTGTTCCAATGTGCCAAGGTTGCAGATTCAATCCTTGGTCAGGGCACATACAAGAACCAACCAATAGGACATAAATAAGCAGGATAAGAAATCAATCTCTTTCTTTTTAAACACCAATCAATCAATAAATAAGTGTAGGTGAGGATATGGAGAAATTAGAACCCTCTTATATTGCTGGTGGAAATATGAAATGGTGTGACCATTTCGGAAAACAGTCAGACAGTTCCTCAAAAATTTAAACATAGCGCCACCATCTGACCTAGCAATGTCATTCCTAGGTATGTTAGTATACCCAAGAGCAATAAAAACCTAAGTCCAGCCAAAACCGGTTTGGCTCAGTGGAAGAGCATTGGTCTGCGGACTGAAAGGTCTCAGGTTCGATTCTGGTCAAGGGCATGTACATTGGTTGCAGGCACATCCCCAGTGGGTGGTGTGCAGGAGGGAGCTGGTCAATGTTTCTCTCTCATCGATGTTTCTAGCTCTCTATCCCTCTCCCTTCCTTTCTGTAAAAAATAAATAAAATATTAAAAAACAAAAACAAACAAACAAAAAAATGTAAGTCCTTGGGGTGCCCTGGCTTCAGGTTACTTCTTTGGGGCAATCCATCGAGGAGCCCCAGATGGGTGGGTGGGGCCTAACTCTTTGGGGAGATCAATCACGGGGCTCCTGCCCTGTGAGAGCACAGGCCAGGTTGGCGATCCGCCCCACCCACCCCCAATTTTGTGCACCAGGCCTCTAGTTATTTGTAATAGGCAAAAAAAAGAAACAGCCTAAATGTCAATATGTTAATCAGCTGATAAACAGATACACAAAATATGATCTATCTATGTTATAGAATATTATTTGGCTAAAAGAAGGAATGAAGAATTGATATATATTACAACATGTGTAAATCTTAAAAACATTTATGTGAACTAAGTCAGCTACAAAAAGTTTATGTAGGATTCCATTTATATAAAACAACCAGAAAAGGCAAATTCATAGAGATAGAAAGCAGATTAATGGTAGCCAGGGAGAGGGGAAGAGAGTGTCAGGAGAGGTAGGGGCTGAGGATAGTGAATAGGAATTGAGTGTTTATGGGTGTGGGGTAATGAAAATGTTTTAGAATGAGATAATAGGGATAGTGACATAGCATTGTGAAAAGTACTATATGTCACTTCATTGTACACTTTAAAATGACCAAAATTGTGGGGTAGCTCAGTTGATTAGAGTATTGTCCCAATATGTTAAGGTTGTGGGTATGATCCAGTAGGAGCACATATAAGAAACAACCAATGATGCATAAATAAGTGGAACAAGAAATCAATGTTTCCCTCTCTAGTCAATAAATTTTAAAATATGATCAAAGATATGTTATCTTACAATATTCTACCACCAAAAGATATAATAAAGAAGAAATGAAGTATTAATATATCCTATGATAAGGATGAACCTGAAGGAAGGAGGAACAAGATGACAGCATAGGTAAACACCTGTACTTGCCGCCTCTCACAACCACATCAAAACGACAACTAGGGATCTTATCTGAGACCTCAAAAAACCACAATTGTGGAGACCACTGAGCAGCTGTGGGGTCCCGATCGGTGTGGATACACAGATTCCACAGAAAGGTTGGATTTTGCCGGAGATAATGTGGGGTGTCTGGGTCCCGGCAGCGGAGGCGGCAGCTGCAGAGGCTGTGGCAGCAAAAGCTGCAGCCGCCACTGCGGCAGAGACAAAAGCCGGGGGCAGAGACAAAAGCATGCGTGCTGCGTGATCCAGAGGTCCATGGAAATCTGTGTCCACAAAAGCCCCCCGCTGTGGGTCTGGCATGATCCGTGAGAGTGGACGGGGGTCCTCAAGGTTGCTAATAGTGGTGTTCTCTAGGGAACAACCCATTGGGATCTGACACGGAGGGAGAACATAGGAGTTTGAAAGGTATGCAGTCTGTTTGTAATTGCGCGTAGACCTGGCCTTGTTCCCCTACAACCCTTTGCTTCTGATTACAAAGGAGAGACCACCCAGATTGGCTGGCCCTGAGTAACAGCAGGGGGAAACTGCTTTTCTGGAAGCTGGAAAGCAGAGCAGGGAGAGACTATCTGGAAACCAGCTCCGAGGCAGCCCACTTACACAAACCAGTATTGAGAGCCATAGAGAAAGAGGGCTAGAGCAGCCAAAAAGATGGAGTCATCAATCCAGAAACACTGCCACCTAGGGGCTGGAGTACAAACTGACTGTGTTTATTATTAGTTTTATTTAATCAAAAACCAAGAAACTAAGAAATTGCCAACTTAAAATTAAGGACTAGCTTACAATACTAAGGTGCAGTGGGATGCAGGAAACTGCAATACTCTCTTGACTGAGAAACAGGCGTGCCAAACAGAATAACGGAGGAAGTGAATGGCCTTCACTACTGCACACTTCTTTGCTAATTTTTTTATTTTGTATTTTATTTTCATTTTTTGCATCTTTTTATTAAGAAACAAAATTTTTTCCTTTGTTCCCCACTTGATTTTACCTTTTTAATTACTAGACTTTTAGGTTCAATCAGCATTATTACTACTGCATTTTAACTTTTTTGTTTTCTTTTTCTTTCTTTTTTTCTTTTTCTAAATGCCATTTTATTTTCTCTTTATTTTACATTGGAATTAGTGTTGTTCATTCTATTTTCATTTCTCCTTTAGCATCTTTTAACCCTATCTCAACATGACCTTTACACCATCACTCTCTTCCTAACCTTTTCCCTTTTGCTGTCCTGTTTATTTTAACCCTTTCCTGCTTTAGATTTTCCCTACTCTTTCTGTCTACCCCCTAAAACGTTTATCTTACTTATATATCTAATTTCCAATCCCATGTCAAGTGCATACACACCCCTTTCTTAGCTGTATTAACTAGCAAAAAGAGAAAGAAAAAATTGTTTTCCTCTGACCTTTTGATGCTGTTTGCGTGAATGTTGATTATATTGTATTTTTATGCTTTTTAGTGATATCATTTTGCTTATTCTTTTGTTGTTGCTTGGTATTTTTTTATTTGCTTTGTTTTTGTTTTTTACTTCTGTTTTTCCTTGCTTTGCTGGATATTAGTGGGTATTATAGTTTGTATCAATCTCCAGGTACTGTCGCTGGCATTTGCTGGGGTTGGTGGTTGTTCTATTGAAATCTTCTCCCCATATATATGGTTTGTTCCCCTTTTATATCTTAGTCTCTTTCTTGTCTCTCCCTTTTTTTTCTTTAATTTTTCCCTGTTTCCCAATTTCATTTTGACACTCCTTTTTTTCCTCTTTTTTTCCTTTCTTTTTCTTTTTCTCTTGCTCTCTTCTCTTTTTACTCTTCTTCTTTCTCTCCCAGCCCCTAATTTGCCTTTCCCTAGTTGTCACCTGTATTGGAGGTTATTAATATCGCAAACACATTTCTGTTCAGTGCATTGTGTGTTGTACCTGGTTGTGCCATATTTTGTGCCTTTAAATCAACGCAGGAAAAAGAGAACTACATAATCAGACATCCTGAAAAGAGAGACCATGGGGAGACAAAAAAAAAAAAAACACAGCCCACCTATGAAAGAAAAGCAGGCATCACCAGAAAAGGAAGTAAAAAAGTTAGAAGCAAGCAACTACCCAGAGCAAGAATTCAGAGTAATGATCATAAGATGGCTAAAAAGAATGGAAGACAGATTTGACAATATGAGTAAGAACCAAGAGGAAATGAAGAAGAACCAAGAAGAAATGAAAAATTACATCGCTACTGTAAAGAACTCAATAGAAAGCATCAAGAGTAGATTAGAAGAAGCAGAGGATAGCATCAGTGAACTAGAAAACAAGATGGAAAAAATACCCAATTAGAGCAGCTTCTAGAAAAAAAAAAAAAATTAAAAAGCAGGAGGCGAGCCTAAGGGAACTTTGGGACAATACAAAACAAAACAATATTAGAATAATAGGGGTTCCAGAGGGAAAGGAAACAAAGAAAGACATGGAAAACTATTCCAAGAAATAATGACAGAAAACTTTCCTGAGATAGAGAAGAAAAAACATTCAAAAACCCAAGATTCTCACAGAGTCCCAAACAAAATGAACCCCAAAAGACCGACGCCAAGGCACATTATAATTAAAGTGGCAAACACCAATGACAAAGAATCTTAAAAGCAGCCAGAGAGAAACAGAAAGTTACATATAAAGGAACCCCCATCACAATAGCAACTGATTTCTCAACAAAAACTCATCAGGCCAGAAGAGAATGGAATGAAATATATACAACATCATGCAAAGGAAGGGTCTGAATCCAAGAATACTGTACCCAGCAAGGCTATCAATCAAAACTGAAGGTGAAATCAGGAGCTCACAGACAAAAAAAAGTCTAAGGGAATTTATCACCACCAAACCAGCAATGCAAGAAATGCTAAAGGGTCTACTGTAAAAATAAAAAAGAAATAGGAAACAAAGAAGGAACACAGGAGTATAGAATTAAAAATGGCGACAAATAAGTACCTATCAATAATAACTTTAGATTTTTTACAGAGAGGAAGAGAGAGGAATAGAGTTAGAAACATAGATGAGAGAGAAACATCGATCAGCTGCCTCCTGCACACGTCCCACTGGGAATGTGCCCACAACCAAGGTACATGCCCTTGACCGAAATCGAACCCAAGACCCTTCAGTCTGCAGGCTTATGCTATATCCACTGAGCCAAACCGGTTTCGGCTATATAGTTTTTAAATTATAATATAAATCAGGGAAAGAGCAGAGATAGAAGCTAATTGAAAAATACCATGTTTTATCAGACTGCACTTTTAGAAACATGTGATTATATTTTACACAACTATAAAAAAGGCTAAAATTAAAACTCAATGTCTAAAATTTAAAGGCAAAATTAATCAAATTAATCCAACTGTTTATGAAGTTGGTGATATAACCAACAAAAGAAACTAAAGTGCCTTTAAAATATGAATTTACTCATTTTCCTCTATAACTGTTTAGTAATCATTACTGGAGGTTGTGTTGATAATACCATATGTGTTTGCTGTGTGTTGCACATGAATAAAAGTAGAATATTACTAACAACTAGGATTTTCAGCATGGAAGAAAAACACACAAATATAAAATATTTTAGCTAAAAATTTTGTAGTCCTAACTTTCAAATGAAAATATTAAATTAATTCACAACACATTTTATCTTAGAAATATGTGTATGTGTCTATTTCCTTGCTGTTAGCTAAATGTCTTAGAAATAGTCAAGAGCCTAGAGGGAGTGAGCATCCCTAGTGGCCAAAGCATTGTATCTAAATACCATGTCCTAGTAAAAGACTACAGCTCTTTGAAAAATGGCTCAGTATGAAGCATGGGACAGGAAGTATAAATGACAACTGTAGAACAACAGCAAGAAAGCTATCCAAGACCGTTCAATATGTGTCAAAAGGATCAAGAATCAACTTGCAGAGCTTTCCTCTAGTAAAAAAAAAAAAATGGTTCAGTTTAAATAAAAACCTCAGTGGACTGAAACACACTAGATATGTTTAAATCTCAAAGTTCATAATGACATTTAAAAAGATTTGGCACCTTTAAAGTACACTAGGGAACCAAGTCATTATTCTAAAAACAGATAAATAAGAGGTACTTGTAACCTTTTATTTAACGAGTACCTTTTATTTATCTTGTTTTTCCTTAACAAACCTGTACCTTGGTGCAATCAACTAGTTCTACTGCAGATAATTCCAGCTAATAACTAAAGAATGACAGACTACCACCAACTTGCAGCTCCAATGGACAAAGGCAATAATAATTAGCAACCTGCCATAACCTATTAAACAATCTTGCCAAAAAGTTGAACCTAAATTTTTAATATTATTATTGATTTGAGAGAGAGAGAGAGAGAGAGAGAGAGAGAGAGAGAGAGAGAAACATTGATGTGTGGGAGAAGTATCAATCAGTTGCCTCTTGTACGTACCCTGACAGGGGACTGAAACTACAGCCTCGTATGTGTCCAGGAATTGAACTGGCAGCCTTTTGGTGCATGAGGCAACACTCAATCACTGAGCCACAACAGACAGGGAGAACCTGAATTTGATTAAACTTCTGTCTCTCATTACTCCTTTTCAGGAAATACACAAAATATAGGGACAGAGAAGCATGTCCAACTACTCTACTAGAAATGCTGTGCTGGAACTGGCTGGCTTGCATCAAGTCCTAAAGCCAATTGTTAAAATTTCAGGAATTTTGTGAGCCAAATATTAAACACAGTCATTGTTTAAAACTAACTTGTATACTTTTATAATTAACTATATTATAAAACAAGCTAATAAATGCTCACAACTCACCATTCCCTAATTATTTCACTACAGTTTGCCTCTATCTGTGCTCGTGGGGCTATTCATGTCTATTGTATGTGCACAGTGGAAATACTACATGATGGTGTATTGACTACACATCTCTCCCCAACTCTGCATTCAATGATGTTACATTGGTCGGGTTTTTTTGTTTTTACTATGTTTTTATTGATTTTAGAGAGAAAGGGAGAGTGAAGAGAGACATAGAAACATCAATGATGCAAGAGAATCATTGATAGGCTGCCTCCTGCACAACCCCTACTGGGAGTTGAGCCCACAACGCGAGCATGTGCCCTTGGCCGGAATCAAACCTAAGATCCTTCAGTCCACTGAGCCAAACCAGCTAGGGCACACTGGCTTTTTTAAAATCTGCCATTTAAGAATATTTGCACCACAGAAACCAGCAAGCGAAACAGATGTGGGCTTTTCACCCCAGAGAACCAGGCATTAAGTATTTACCAGCATACCATTGCCCACGGGATGTTTCAGAAAAATTCTGAGGACACATGACATAGTTGTTGAATAAATAAATTACAAGAGAAAACAGATTAAAAGTGACTCAAAGGTAATCAAGAAGGTGTGATATTACAATAATATGAGTCTTCAGGGTTCTGCTGAAGCCTTCCTTTTCCCTGGCCAGAGAGACAAGGATAAGTCTGCAAAGGAGCTGAGAGGCAGGAGGAAAGCCAGAGAGTGCAGGAATCACAGAAACCAATGGCAGGCTGCTGATGGAAAAGAGATTATGAACACAGGACAGAAGACTCAAATTTAACCAATTCATTATCATTGTTAACCATTCATTACATTTGAATTATTAATCAGTTCAATTACTTGTTAATATTGATACATTAAGTAGATCAACCTCTGTGACTTCACAAAAGGCTGAGCTTCCTGCTCTATGAAGCATTCTTAGAAATCGGTAACAAAAAGCACAATAATTCAATGGGAAAAAGAATTAAACACCTACTTGGCTGGAGACCCCTCCTCCAGGGGGTCCGGGGACTCCTCCACCATCGGGGGCTCCTCCACAGGCCCAGCTGGCTCCACGTCACTGAAAGCAGCAAGAACCATTCCAGTCACACAAACTTGTTAACAGCAAGGCTCTTAGATATTCGAGAAAGAGAGAGAAACATATTATTGCGTCCTTTTCTTAAGTAGATATCCTTCAAGGAGTTACACACAGGTAATCCACATTAACATAAGAAAGACAAAATGCTCTCAATTGATAATCCATATAAATTATTTTCACAAATGTGAAAGGTACTTAGAGAAATAGAAGTTTCTATGAATGGTCTAAAATTGAAACAGATTATAAAGGACCAGAAGAAATATTCAAAACTCTTCTGAATTTAGGAAATTCCCATTATTAATAGGAGCCATAAAAACAACTTACAATAGATAAGAATATGCCATATCAAACTTTTAGAAAATGGTAAGAAAGTAAAAACATTCCACAGAAATAGTGCGTTGGATTTCAAACAAGTTGGTAATAACTATTTGAATTTTAACATACATGACTTTAATTCTTCCTTTTTATGGTAATATTAATCCTATCAGAACGTTACTTAAAAATTAATTACTTAAAATTAATCCCAGCAAAGAAATTTCATTTTCAGGAAAATGCTAAAATTAGTAAATATATTGGAGTATATAATGGACATTACATATTCATTAGAAATATTTTACACTCTACGTACAGAACCCAGCTTCATAAAATAGGCTATTTTTTCTAAAATAAAGAAATTGAACTGTAATAACAGAATAGACTTTTTACACTATTTTTTATTGTTAATCCTCACCCGAGGATATTTTTCCATTGATTTTTGAGAGAGAGTGGAAGGGAAAACAAAGAGAAACATCAATGTGAGAGAGAGAGAGAGACATACATTGGTTGTCTCCCAAAGGCTCCGACTGGGCCAGGGATGGAGCCTGCAACTGAGGTAGTATCCTTGACCAGAATCGAACCTTGGCACCCTTCAGTCTGCGGGCTGACACTCTATCCACTGAGCAAAACTGGCTAGGGCTACACTAATATTTTTAATTTTCAAATTGTAATCAGATTTAAAAAAACAACTCAAGTTTTTCAATGCAAAATTAGAATGAGTGATTTTTACTTTTTAAAAAGGTCCTGAACCAAATGAACTTGTGTGGGAAGGACATCCATGTGCTCCGCCCACCTGGCAGAGGCCCTTCACAAGGCACTCTGCATCACAGCCTGACCCTGCGGGGTCACCAGAGGTTTTAGCATCAGCAGCCGCCGTGCTTAACCTACTCCAAGTTTCTCTGTCTCTTGGCCACATAATAAACCAACAGGATAAAAAACATAGGTGCACTGACAGTCATAGCTTTCAAAAAACATAAAACAGTTGATGTTTCTAACTCTCTCCCACTCTCCATTTCTCTTTGAAATCAATAAAAATATATATTTTTGAAATTCATAAAATGGCTACAAAGAAACAGGGAAGGAAAAAAAGCAGAGGACTACAAAGAAACTTTGTAAAAACCGGTATTTCTAAAACTTGAGCCATTGATTTTAAAGAAAAAAAAAATCACAGATTTCCCCCCTATATTGACCTAAATTATTTTATGAATAAACATAAAATTAATATTGTACTTACAGGTCTTATAGAACCATATGCCCACAAGTACAAAACAATCAAGTGTCAATATGAGGCACAATTTGCTTTGGTAGACTTTGTTATTCTGTTTAATGTCAATCACCAATGCTGGATAAATTAGAGGAAAGATGCAGCGTCAGCCAGGGCCAAGTCCACTTTGACTTCAGTTATTCCAACTCAGACCATGCCCACTTGCACACCTATGTCCGACAACACTATGCTGAACACATCAAAGCTTTGTTTCCCAGCTCAAATTCACTCACACTTCACACTTAAATGAATGACGCCAACAGATTTTAGCTAAATGTTCCCTGATTACTAAACTGTTCTGCTCTTCACAACAGACGTTGGAAGGCAGCATTGCTGCAAATTCTATTATGGGTGTCTATTTCAATTGGTAACAAAAAAGTATCTGTTATTATATTTTAAATTATGCTGATGGAGCAAACTCTATTTTTTAGTACAGATACTTTATGACAAACTGTTCTAAAAACCATAACACCGGAAATGGCTCAGTCCGAATCGTCCCCCTACCAGTGTAGCATCGGGCCTGGCCAGCCAGGGACGAATCACTGATAGGTTAGACTTACCTCTCCTCTTTCCTCATTCACCAAAAGTAGCACATAACTCCACTATACTGCACAGTTTTCATGGCAAATCAAAAAATTTCAATTTAAGTAAACAATTAAAAGTCTTAAGCTACGAAAAATCTCTCAAAGATTATTACCACCAAAGAGCTTTGAGTTTAGAGCTCACAAACCAATCCAAAATGAGTGCCACAGGGCACCTTTGATCTTCCATTGGACATGCCAGTTGCTAGGAGACATATAGTCATATAGAGACATATATTGGGTGTTCACCCCAAGTCAAGTCTCCTTCTATCACCGCTCATGCCCCCTTTTCCCCTCCTACATTCCCCCGCCCCCTCTGGTAATCACCATACTGTTGTCTATGAGGGTTTTTCCCCTCCACTTAATCCCTTCACCTTTTCACCCAGCCCTCCTACCCCCGTCCCTCTAACAGCATCATTCTGTTCTCTGTATGAATCTGTTTTTATTGTTTGTTAGTTTATTTTGTTCATTAAATTCCACATATGAGTGAAATCATATGGCACTTGTCTTTCTCTGACTGGCTTATTTCACTCAGTGACTCTTCAGGTCCATCCATGCGTTGCAAAGGGTTAAGATTTCTTTTTTTTTTTTTTTTTTAAGCATAGTATTCCATTGTGCAAGTGTACCGCAGCTTTTTATCCACTCATCTACTGACGGGCACTTGGGCTTTTCCAGATCTTAGCTATTCTAATAATGCTGCAATGAACATAGGGGTGCAAATATTCTTTCAAATAGGTGTTTCTAACTCTATACTGCTTTCTAGTGGCCGCACCAGTCCCCATTCCTAGCAGCAGTGCAGAAAGGTTCCCTTTTCTCCACATCCTAGCGAACACTTGTTGTTTGTTGATTTGTTGTGGTAGCCATCCTGACATGGGATTTCTCATTGTGGTTTTACTTTGCACCTCTCTGATGATTAGTGACAATAAGCATCTTTTCATACGTCTCTTGGCCATCTGTATGTCCACTTTGGATCTACTCAGGTCCTTTGCCCATTTTTAAATTGGGTTGTTTGTTTTCTTGGAGTTGAGTTTTGTACATTTTTAATAAATTTTAGCAAACCCATTTTTAAAAGTTATCTCACTAAACAAAAGCCTAAGATCAACCCCTATTTAAGGAACACAGTATAAAGACACTTGCAAACACAGCAGAGGACATAATTTTCATGAAAGGCAAACAAGGATGGAGATTTCCACTTAATTGTAGGTTCACAGAATGCACACATTTGCAGCGTACCTGGTATCTTTTCCGGATCCCCAGGTGCGAACTCCACATCCACCCATGTTATCTTCAGTTCTGATTGCTCTACAAAAAGAAATAGTATTTCTTTAAACTGCAAGCTGGTCTCTAGTCAATATTCAATTCAGAGAAATTGATAATAAGAGCTACTTCAGGATCAGCTCTTTACTAATATAAAGTCAACTAAATATTAACACGTAACAGATTCATACTATGTACGACTAAGGTCTTAAAGTGAAAATAGCTCTTATCAAGGAACTTACATTTTATCATTTCCACCGTATCTCTCAAACTCCCGTTTTCCTCTTTGGTCAAAACGATCAAAAGCTCTGTTCCCCGGACCACCTCGGCCTCTGCTCCGCAGACCCCCCCTGGGGCCCCCACGTCCTCTCAGGGGTCTGTCCCGATCAAACCTGTCCACTGGTCTAGGAAAACATGGTATAACACAAAGTGATGGATTAAACACCAAAGGTTTTTTTAAGAAAAAAATATTCTAGAAGGCTATTATGGCTATACTATATTGCAAAGAATGGTGGCCTGCACAATGAATAGTTAACTTTTACTGAACACATACTATGCCTGTTGTTGTTCTGAGCACTTCACATACAGTTATTTAATTCGCACAAACAAATCTGTAATATACTACTGCTGCCCAAATGTGAGGAAGGTAGGTACTTGCCCAAAGTCATATGGCTACTAAATGGGGGAGCTGATGAGAGCAGGTCCTAGGCAGGTCTTAACACTAATCTGTAGAGGAGCACCCCTGCCCTCGCCCCTCTCTCTGGACCTGGTTTCCACATTTGTAAAATGAGGAGGTTAGGACCTGGCCAATGTGGCTCAGTTTATTGAGCATTGTCCCATGCACTAAAAGGTCTCAAGTTCCATTTTTGATCAGGGTACATGCCCAAGTTGCTGGTTCTGTCCCCAGTCTGGGTGCGTGTGTGGGAGGCAATTAATTGATGGTTCTCTCTCAATTTGATGTCTGTCTGTCTGTCTGTCTGTCTGTCTCTCTCTCTCTCTCTCTCTCCTTCCTTTCCTGCCTCCTCCCCTCTCCCTTTCTTCCTCTCTCTAAAATCAATTAAAAAAAAACACACCCACAAACATATTTTTTAAAAACGAGGTTAAATAAACTAAATCTAAGATTAATTCCACTTCTAATACTAAATATTTAAGTTAAATTTGGAATGTCTGTATAATTTAAAAGATGGTTAAACTTCAAATTATGGTTCCTCCCAAGCACACAACCAGTCAGTGACATCTGGGGCTGAAATATCCTATGACGACCTGACTGCTATCCCCATTCTCTACATAACATCCAAGAACAGCTAAAGACAATCTCTTGTTGTTAAACCCAATAGTAACTCTGTCTTTAAGCCATCTGATCCCTCTTCACCATGTGACACTGCCAACCACTAATTTCCCTCTGACTTGCCTGGCTCCTCTTTCCCTATCTGTCCTTAAAAAATAATTTTTTAATAGGTAATACCCAAACATGGTACAAAATTGACAAGGTACTCCTCCTCCTGCTCCACAGCCACTGCTACTTCTCAGAGGCAGGTGATTCGGGGTCACACAAAGGGAAAAGCTCCGTACCTTGCCTTTCTCACCCACGTGTCGGTGCTCCGCACACAGCTGCCTGCTCTCCTGGATCCCCATTTGTCCTCAAGTGTGCTGGCACTCCAACCCCCTGTCCCCTGCACACTGCCCTTGCCTCTATGCCAGTGCTACATGGCCCTCATTCATGTTTCCCCAGGTCTCTCATGCAGGTCTCTCTGACTCCAGGCCACAAAGCCAGGTTCTTTCTGGACACCCCCCTCTGCACATCCCCAGCCCTGCAGATGTGTGACCAACAGTGACTCCTTGCTCCTCCTATGGTCTCTAACTCCAAACACAAGAACACCCAAGCCAGCTACTGGGGCCTTTCTCCACTCCTCCTTTTCCCCTGCCACACCCACCGGACCCAAGCCTGACTGCTGCCCACTTCCCTCACACCAGCGCTGCCTCACTGCTGGTCACCATCACTCCACAAGGACTCTCTTCTCTTCCACTAGACTCAAAGCTCCTAAAGGAAGACACATCATTCTCATCACTAAACCCTAGTTTAATAAGACAAATTATATTTTTTAATTTGTCAAGGTTTTTAAAAACATCTAAAACTGCAAGAAATTGCTTATTGAAATCGAATGGGGCATTATTTGTGGCTCCAATGCCAAGACGAGAGGTCTGTATCTATGGCTGAAAATGCTGCATTAAAATACTAGTAGTGTGGCTCAACTGAGCATCATCCTGTACATGGAAAGGTCAAAAGGTCGCTAGTTCAGCTCCAGGTCAGGACCCGGGTGGCAGGTTTAATCCCAGGTCGGGATGCATGCGGGAGGTAACCGATTGGTATTTCTCTCTCAGATTGATGTTTCTCTCTTCCCCCTTCTTCTCTCTTTTAAATCAATAAAAACATTTTAAAAGCTACTATCCAATCATGGGTAAAAAGATACAAAATTCCCAATTCTCCTTATTCAAAAAGATAAAAAAGTAAAGAAGCATCAATCATTAACTTTATGCCAGACACCATTCTAAATAAATGTTTAAGTTGGATTTTGTCTCCAATCACCTCTGACCAAAACCAGTTTTTATATATATGCAGGTATATATATACATTTTTTTAAATTGATTTCAGAGAGGGAGAGAGACAACAAATAAACATTAATGATGAGAGATAATCATTGATTGGCTGCATCCTGCACGCCCCCTACTGGGGATCAATCCCACAACCCCGGGCATGTCCCCTGATCAGAATTGAACCCAGGACCCTTCAGATTGCAGGCCAATACTCTATCCACTGAGCCAAACTGGCCAGGGCAAAACCAAATTATTAAATGAAATTATTGTTGAAAAATTTGATTCTATATCCTAACCAGTTTGGCCCAGTGGATAGAGTGTCAGCCTGTGGACTCAAGGGTCCTGGGTTCAATTCCAGTTGGGGGCATGTATCTTGGTTGTGGGCACATCCCCAGTGGGGAGTGTGCAGGAGGCAGATGATCAATGTTTCTCTCTTATCAATGTTTCTAACCCTTTATCCTGCTCCCTTCCTCTCTGTAAAAAAATCAATAAAATATGTTTTTTAAAAATGTTTGATTCTATATTAAAGTACCTAAAGCAGAGTTCTAAAACAATGACCAAAGAAAAGTAAATTCTTAATCAGGCCATAAAAGAAAAAAAGATACTTAAAAATTGAGAGGAAATGAAGCAAAACAACATACAAGGAAAATAATGCCAACAGTCAAAATCAGGTATAAATTTACATGAAATCCAATCAGATATGCACAAAACTACAAATTCATTTAAGCTGTAATAGTGATTGAAACTGACCCTAAAAATATACCTGTGTGTTCTGGCATATTTTAAGTCCTTAATCATTTTTCCTTTACTCCACAAGTTTACTCCTATCCCTAATTAAATATATTCTCAATTGCCTCTTTACTTTCCCCTTATTATAAATTGTATCTTCTTTGTCACAGGTTGGTGAGACTGAGGAATCCTATATTCCACTTGGGAAGCTTTCTTATATACACACAAGCAGAAGGAAAAAATTTGGAGCCAAGCATCCCACTTTATATACCATCATCCACTCTTGTACAACAATCCTAATAACTAGACAGGAGTATGTTTTACAGGTAAGGGAATGAAGTTTCTATATGGGGAATGGGGAGCTGATGTTTAATGGGAACAGCTGGGGAAAGTGAAAAGGTTCTGGAGAAGGATGGTGGTGATGGTTACACAACAATGCGAACGGACTTAATGCCACTGAACTGTATATTTAAAAGTGGTTTAGCCCCAGCCAGATGTGCGGTGGTTAGAGCATCAGCCTGCAGACCAAAGGGGCAAGGGTTTGATTCCTGGTCAAAGGCATGTACCTCGGTTACAGGTTCTCGGCCCTGGTTGGGACATGTGTGGGAGGCAACCAATCAAAGCGTCTCTCTCACGTCGGTGTTTCTCTTTCTCTACCCCTCCCTCCCTTCTATCCTCTCTAAAAATCAATGGAAAAATACCTCTGGTGAGGATTAAAAATAAAAAGGAAGAAAACAGTAATCATCTCAGACAGTAAGATAGGTAGTTTAATTTTCTTTATAATTTTATACTAGTATGCTTTCCAAATTGTTTCAAGAGACTATAAAAATTTTTATTAAAGCCGAAACCGGTTTGGCTCAGTGGTAGAGTGTCGGTCTGCGGACTGAAAGGTCCCAGGTTCGATTCCGGTCAAGGGCATGTACATTGGTTGCGGGCACATCTCCGTTAGGGGGTGTACAAGAGGCAGCTGGTCGATGTTTCTCTCTCATCGACATTTCCACCTCTCTATGTCTCTCCCTTCCTTTCTGTAAAAAATCAATAAAGTATATTTTTAAAAAAAAATTTATTAAAGATCTTATGGACCTTTATTAATAGAAAGGTACTTTTAAAGAAACGAAGGAACATATATTTTCCGATGGCACATGACGTAAAAAAAATTTCAAATTTCCTTGAAAGTAAAAATTCCTACAGATTCTTAATGTGATGTGCTGAGAAGGGCACAAAACATCACTTCTGTGTTATTCCTGCCAAATAAGTTCATTCCATGAGGAAATGACAAACTCAAATTCTGAGCTGTTCTACAAAACAAACAGTCTGTCCTTTTCCAAAAAAGTCAAATTCATAAAAGAGAAAGGGAGACTAAGGAGCAGTTCCAAATTAAAGAAGACCAAAGGCAGTGCCCATTCTTGGACTGGACCCGGAATCAGACTTCTTTTTCTTTTGCTAAAGGACACCGCTAAGACAACTGGGGAAATCTGAATCGTCTGTGGGTTACACAGTTTAGAGAATTCTACAGAACTGTACTGAAGTTACTAAGTTTGATAACTGTACCATGTTTTTAGTAAATACATTTAAAATAGTTACAGATAAAGGGACATTCCTGCACCTCACTCTTATCTAAAACGACAAAGAAAAAAGTTTTGTGTATGTGTGTGTTACACAGAGAGAGAGAGAGAGACTATGAATGTGTAGGAGAAAAGAAAGAAAAGGAGGAAGAGGAGTATAATAAAGCAAATGTGATAAAACGTTAACATTTAAGGAATATGGATAATGGTGTATGGAAATTCTTTGTATAATTACTGCAACTTTTTGCAAATCTAAAATTACTTTTAAAAGTAAAAAGAAAAAAAAATCCCTCCATAACCCCATATCCCACCCTACCCTTACGCCTAGCCTTGCTTGCATGTATGATTTCATTTAATAGGCATCTTTCCATGTTACTATAGAAAGACCTATCTTATCCTTTTTAAACACTCATAGTTTTGCTACTAAAAAAAACAACCCTGGAAACCTGAGCTTGTGCTTTTGAGCTATAATTCTGTTATTTCCACAGAATAAATTCCTGAAGTGAGAAAAAAAAAATACATAAATGCTTTCTAAAATAAGCTGCTCTGATTCAGAAGCTCTTTATAAGCATGCAGACTGGCCATTACACAGCAAATTTTAAGCAATCTCCAAAAAAAGGACAGAATTAAACCTTTTTCTAACCCCCACCTCCAACATGGTGGCAGATACACCACTTCAATGTTTTAGACATGTAACTGCTAGCAAACAGATCTGCAGAAGTCACCATCTGCTCAGCTCTCTCGCACTGAGCTAGTCTGCGGGACTTTCTTGTTTTTTAGGCTTGTTTTAATGGTCTCGAGTATTGTTTTACAAAGCTAAATTCTTTAGTTAAAACTTGTAAATGAGATTAGTAGTCAAGAGGTTGAAGAAGTATTGCCCAGCTGGTATGTCTCAGTGGCCCATGAACCAGGAGGTCACGGTTCAATTACAGTCAGAGTACATGCCAGGGTTGCGGGTTCGATCCCCAGGACGGGGTGTGCAGGAGGCAGCCAATCAATGATTCTCTTTCATCATTGATGTTTCTATTTCTCTCCCTCTTCCTTCCTCTCTGAAAGCAATTTAAAAAACAAACAATAAAAACCAATATTAAATAAATTCATCAAGTCTAAAATAATACTAAACCAAAAACATAATTATATCCCTAGCCTAAACTTCAAAAAAAAAAAAAATGTGATCACTTGAACATACTTCTGTGCAGTATTTTTATGAGAGTGCTTTTCATAGTGAGCAATAAAGACTTCATTTTTATTTTTATTTATTTATTTATTTTTAAAATATATTTTATTGATTTTGTACAGAGAGGAAGGGAGAGAGATAGAGAGCTAGAAACATCGATGAGAGTCATCTATCAGCCGCCTCTTGCACACCCCCTACTGGGGATATGCCCGCAACCAAGGTACATGCCCTTGACTGGAATCGAACCCGGGACCTTTCAGTCCCCAAGCCGACGCTCTATCCATTGAGCCAAACCGGTCCCAGCAAGACTTCATTTTTTAATTGTAAAATCACTGCCTGAACCAAGACTTAAGGTCATTTAGGAGGTAAAGGGAAGATCCTTCATGTGGCACCTAAGGTATTATAATATGATGTGCTACTTAAATTATTCCCGGGACTGGCAGCACGGAGAGGTCACCAAGGCTGGCAGTTCTCTGAGGACCGTTTTGGCTCCTAAACCCTCCGCGCCCAGATCTGTGTGCAGTACATACTTTTCTTCTGTAACCTTCTCAGGTGTAAAGTCCGCCTGCCTCTCGGTCTCATAAGGGTGATATTCCCTGTAGGATCTCCGCTCTGCTCTATCCAGTGTCACCTCTGTCCCCCGGCTATCATTCCATCCTTGCTGCTCCCCTCTTCTAGGAGTTCGCTTCTGGCCTGCACGCAAAAAATCAGAGGGGAAAGGTGAATACAACGTCTACAGCAGCACGTCACTCACAGGTACTTTTACACTTAACTCTTCTAGAAACCACCGTCACGGGAACTGTAGAAGTTTAGAGAAGGAAAGTTGCTTATATTACTACAGCCGGTATCGATTACTTTTTAATAAAAGTTTCAAGTTCCTATTGAATTACAGGCTTTCTCTTATGTCATGAAAAGCATGATAAAATTAAACAGACTACACCAACTAACCAATAATTATAGGTATTGCACCATGACTCTGTGATAGCTAGGATATAGATAATTGCTAAATCAATGACGTTTCACAACAGCAGCTTTATTAAATAAGCTACATCCAGAAACTTCTAAGACTAATGCCCTATACTTTAAATTTTTTTTAGAACCCCAAGTACAGTTTATCATTGGTACTAAGGTTTTTTTGTTTTGTTTTGTTTTTTCTTTTTCTTTTTTAAATATATTTTTATTGATTTTGTACAGAGAGGAAGGGAGAGAGATAGAGAGTCAGAAACATCGATGAGAGAGAGTCATCGATCAGCTGCCTCTTGCACACCCCCTACTGGGGATATGCCCGCAACCGAGGTACATGCCCTTGGCCGGAATCGAACCCGGGACCCTTCAGTCCCCAAGCCGACGCTCTATCCATTGAGCCAAACTGGTATCGGCAAGGTTTTTGTTTTTAAATACAGCTTATACCACTATTATCTTGCTTTTATTTAGAAACAGATTTTTCTGCTATTTCCTGGTATTTATGATCATACTTTTCAAATATGAGGCCAATGTCATACTTTTCAAACATGAGGCCAAACTTGTCTAGCCAAATCATACATGGGCCCATCAGCACCCAAACATGCATCTCTCACATGTGGAGCCGGCACTCAGCTGGGGCGGCGACCCAGCCATTTTCCTCACTCATCTCCCCATACTCTACTCCCCTCCAGTTCGATGCTTTAACAACTGTAAGCAGAGTCTGTGTTTGATAGGCATGCAATACCTGGTAAATATGTTTGTCATGAAGCATGTTTGTCACTTCAAAATAATATTCTAAAAGCATTTATCTTTGCTTTGTATACATTTAAAAGGCCCCGATCTCAAATATTATTTATAATTTTATTACAGTACTTTGACTTTTCTATAAATTACCCTTCGATTGGTTCTATGGCTGTAAAAATATTAAATGTATTTTTTAAACAGCTGGTCTCCACTCCAAGTTAGGCAAACAAACATGACTCTTAAGATGTTTACACGTATTTTTCCATTTTCCTACTTAATATTTTCTGTCTGAATTTTATAATTTGGGCACATTTATTAACAAAGTTCCAACACCATACAAATACTTCATTCTTTCTTCAAAACCCAAAACACAAAGACAACAGGGGTACAATTGTTTCCCCCCAATTCAGCGCTAAAAGATGAAGACTACAATTGAACCTTGCTGCTTTTTGTGCTGGGTCAGCAGCTCCAAGTGGATAATGCAAACACTGAATTTCACTAGCCTTTTCCACTAAAAGGCTGGCACACGCAGCTGGTTCGCTGATCTAACGCCAAGCCCACGAAGGGACCACATACAATAAAATTTTCAATGAGATTTCTACAAAATAAAGTTGAACTTTGACTCAAAAACATTCATCCTGAAAGGCTAAGTAAAGACGAAACGGCCCCCAAGGACTTCAAGAACAAAGTCATTGAGCAAGGCTCACACAGGGTCAACATACAGTTGACTCTTGAACAACTTGGGTCAAACGAAAAGTCCACATGTAAGTGGACCCAAGTTACTCAGGGGGTCACTGTATATTGCTAAATAGTGAAGGATACTAAAAACCTCAATGGGAAAATCTTAACATTTCCACATCCTTTTGAGATTAATAAATGTTTCCATTATAAGCCAAACACGTTTTGACTTTGTTTCTTAACTACACTAAGTATTCACTCACAATATTCTTTTTTTTTTTTAATATATTTTATTGACTTTTTTTACAGAGAGGAAGGGAGAAATATCGATGAGAGAGAAACATCGATCAGCTGCCTCCTGCTCAACCCTCACTGGGGATGTGTCCACAACCAAGGTACATGCCCTTGACCGGAATTGAACCCGGGACCCTTCAGTCTGCAGGCGGATGTTCTATCCACTGAGCCAAACTGGTTTTGGCTCTCTCACAATATTCTAACTAAATTAAATTTTTTGAGTGTTAGAAAAGAACAGTCTATATAAATTAGGGCTACAAAACTTTGAGAGTAGCTCTCTAACATCCATTACAGAGAAGCTTAATACAGTAACTGCATTGGCAGAAATTAATGAGCTGTTAGCTCCTGAAATAACACATACTTGAAAAAAGAACTAGAAAGACAAAATTTCCATTCCAACTACAAAATTAAAAAACTTTAATATAGTTCTCAAAACCCAGATCACCTGGATCATGAATAATTGACAAAAAAAAGTTATCCACATACTAGATTACAAGGCTAAGTGAAAGAAGCAGACTGCAACCCAGTTTATATCATTTAAACTTAGAAAACAAAATAAAAAATAGGCCCAGCTGCAGTGGCTCAGTGCTTGAGCTTTGACCTGTGAACCAGGTCAGGTGCAGCTGGATCCCCAATGGGGAGCTAGCAGAAGGCAATGATTCTCTCTCATCAATGATGTTTCTATCTCTCTTCCTCTCTTTTCCTCTCTGAAATCAATAAAAATGTATTTTAAAAAATAAGAAAAGAGGAAACAATTTTGTGCATTAATGTGTATAAATACGAGGTGTTAAGAATTAGAAAAATAAAGGATTTCCACTTTACTTCATACATTTCTAACTTGTTTCAAACTTTATAACAAAAGTGCAGGGCATTCTTAATTTTGAAAGAGTTAAAAAGTGATATGTTAGTAGCACTAAATGCAGTTTCACAGCATGAAATATCCATTCTCATTTGTTAAAATATAAAGGGAGAGGAAAAGCTTATTAGCCTTTCTCCATTCCTTTATTACTATATTTGGCTAAATAAATTTGAGGAAAAAATATAACTTACTACAAAATGTACATCATATCTCAAGTCTCACTCTATGAACTTACTGGCCTACCAAGGAGTCTTGAAATAACTTTTTAAATAAATTCAACATCTGCATTAGAGTGACTTATTTCCTGACTCCCAAGGGATGTCACTGGACTGCACTTTTCACAGCTCAAGGTAAACACCACCTAGTTTCAGAAGTCAAAGCTCCAATACTTAAATCAGCTGTTTCCCCAGGGTTGGAAGGCACAATTTAATATTTCTGTAATTTTTCAATTTACAGTTGACATTCAATATTGTATTATGTTTGGGTGCACGCGTAGTGGGAGACATTTATGTAACTTACAAAGGGATCCCCCGCTGGAGTCTACACAGTTATCACAGTATTTACTGGCCGTATGCTGAGCTTCACATCTCCGTAACCATTCTTCTGTCACTGCCCATTTGAGGGGGGCACAATGTTGACTAAGCAGGGGGCCCTGGCCGGCAGAGCCATGAGCTGAAAACGCGGCTACCGGCGGCTGCAGGGGTGGAACCACACATCTCAGCCCCCCTCTCCTCTCGGGCAAACCTCGGGGCCCTGCTTTAGGGCCGCGGGCCGCACAGGTGTGCTCCGCTGGCTGCGCCCCTGCTGCGGTCCCGGTGAGCTCCCCCCTCCGCCCGGAGGAGCCGGTGGCCAAGGTGACAGGAAGCAGCCGGAGGAAAGGACGAGTCCCGCATCCCGCGGGCACCACGTGCGGTGCTTAGAAATAAAGCCGGTGGATGCGGGGGGCTGGATGCGGGGGGCTGGATGCGGGGGGCTGCGGCCAGGGGATGGATGGGCGGAAGGCACGGGAACCCCGCGCCACCCTCCGCATCCGCGGGCGCCGACGTCACAGCCTCCGCGGGCACCGGGCCTCCCTCCATCACAGAGGCCGCTCCCCGCGCCGCCTCACGCCCCGGCCCCCGCCTCCCGCGCCGCCGCCCCCGCGCCGCCCGAGGGGCTCCCCTCCACCCCCGCCTCCCCCTCCGCTCCGGGCAGAGGGCGGCTGGAGGAGGCAGACCCGGGGAAGCGACCCCCCTGCTCACCCCCCAGCAGTGTCCTTCACTCTGCCCAGCCGGTGAGGCCCGTACCCCGAGGCTGCACCCCCCGCCCTCCAAGGGGCTGGGAAAGGTCAGAGCGCGTGACGACGCCCACCCGGCTCTCCCGCCACCGGCTTCGGCTACCAGGACCCCCGACCCCTCCCGGCCGCCCCCAAGGCCCCTCCCTCGGGGAGCAGCGGCCACAGCCTTCCAACGGGGCGCGGGGCGGTGCAGAGGGGCGACCCCGTGACCCCCCTCCTTCCCGCCCGCCGCCGCGCTCACCCGGGGGCGTCCAGGGGCTCGGCGGGCCGCGCGTCCCGGGCGGCTGCGGGCCGCCCCCGGGGCTGTCGGGCTGCGGCGCGCCGGGGGCCGGCAGGCCCTTGCGATCCTTCTGGGACTCCCGCCGGCCGCCGGCCGCGCCGGGTCTGTGGCCCGAGGCCCCGGCCGGGCTCCGGCCGCCGCGCTGACCGGCCCCGGCCGCCGCCGCCGCCGCCTCGTCCCGCCTCTTGCGCTGCAGCTGCTGCTGGCGCCGGCGCTCGGCCTCGCGCAGGATGTCGAACGGGTCAGACTCGTCGTCCAGCAGCTGGTGGAAGCGGTTGGCCACGACGCAGCCGAAACTTTCCTGCATCGCGGCGCCCGCGGCGGCCGCGGCCACGGGGCTCCCCAGAGAGCCCTTCATGCCGCCGCGGCCCTGCGGGCCCGCCGGGGGCAGCCCACGCGAGCGAGTCTCAGCGGAGCCGGCGGCGAGCACCCATCGCGCCCATCGCTGCAGCCCTCCCTGCCCGGTGCCCTCTTTCCCCGCGCGGGCCCCCGCGCAGCCCCCGACGCCCGCCTCGCCGCGGGCAGACAGCCAATCAGAGCGCTCGGACACGCCCCTTTTCCTAGCGGGCACGCCTGGCAGGCCAATCAGAGGCCGGCTTCTGTCACGTCCTACGACCTCTATGCCCCACCCCTCGACTCACAGGGAGGGGCAGAGCTACCGGGAGGAGCGCGGAGTTTGTGGTCCAGGCAGGCCCGCAGGTGTGGGTGGGTTGAAATCACTTGTGTTCTCTCTGGGACTGGACTCACAGCGTTCATTATGGGCTACTCTTCTCTGAAGTTTGTATATTCATTTACCCATTGGACATTTACTGTGTGTTAGAGGTTTGGCCAGCGATGAGGGCTGCGAAGAATTCACCACTAAAAGGAGAGAGAGAGCCCAGCTGGCCTGCTCAGTGGTTGAGCATTGACCTATGAACCTGAAGGTCGCAGTTAGATTCCTAATCAGGGCACATGCTCTGTTAAGGGCTTGATCCCCAGCGTGGGGTGTGCAGGAGGCAGCCAGTGATTCTCTCTTATCATTGATGTTTCTCTCTCTCTCTCCTTCCTTCCTCTCTGAAATCAATAAGATGTATTTTTAAAAATAATAAAAGAAGAGAAGGAATGTAAATAGAAAGCTTATTTTTACTTTCCCCAAAGAGAAAGAGCTGTGCTAATCAATGCCAGGGCAAAGAACAAAAAAGCTTCCCTTCCTTTTAAAGCCTTGGGCAAGGAAGGCAGGGAGGTTTTTCGGCTGCTGCTGTTGCTAGGTGACTTTGAGAAGACATCAAGAGGAGTTGTCTTTGTTAGTTCTTTAGGAGACAATCCCAACAGATGTCCTAGGGAGGTGTCTTATGATGATGTTTCCTAAGTCTGTATAATATTCTTAGAGCAAAAGTTGTGAAGTGTTTAACAGAGGCTTGTTTGAAGGGAAATGGAAAGAGAACTTTCTACTAATTATCCCTGGGTTGTAAACCAGCAGGGAGAAGTATATGCAAGAATGTAGCCTTGAAAGTAACTTGTCTTATAGTTTGAACAGAGGGCGTTTGAACAGAGAGAATGTTTGAACCAGAGGAGCTAACAATCTTGAAGTTTAATTACCACGTGTTCCTCATAAGTCCTGGAAGGCTACAGCAAAGAAAAAGAAAAGCCTCCTTTTTCCCCTCCTCCTAACACCATGTGCCAGGCATTATGTTGTAGGAGATACCAACTCATGATTTATGGATCTCTCAGTATATCGACAGAAAAGTGCCCCGAAGGAAAGGCACAGACTTCCCTAGGAAGTAGAAAAGGAACCTGAAGCTTCCCCTAGCAAGTGCTGATTAAGCTGAGCTGCCATCTGAAGGATGGCAGGAGCAGGAGCAGGAGCAGGTGGGTCCATACACAGCCCAGGCACGTTCTCAAAGAAAACCAGTGAACTGGGTTGCAAAGAGTTGGGGGAGGGGCTTGTTTGGTCTGGTCAGGTCATTATTCTAAGAGCGGTGAGAAGCAAGTGATAAACATAAGCATTTCTTAAAAAGGCTACCCTGGCTACAACACGAAGGGCATGGAGGGAGGTCAACCAAGCAGAAGATTGCTGCAGAGCTCCAGGAAAGAGCTGATGATGGTAACTTGGACTAGAACGATGGCAGTGGAGGTGAAGAGAGTAGTAGATTCAAGAGCTATTTTGCAGGTTTTATCAACAGGACTTGGTGAGTCACTAGATATGGATGAGGAGGAGGAAAAGGAGGGGTGAGACGACGCCTGTTTTTCTGGCGCAGCTGGAATGGTGGTGCTGTTCACTAAGAATTAGAGCACCAAAAGAGAACGCTGATGCGAATCCTGAGTTTACCCTGAGCGTGCTGAGGTTTGGGGTTTTGTTTGTTTTTCTTGTGAGATATTCAACCGAGGCCTGGAATTCAAAGAACATCAAGCTCAGGCCTGGCCGAACGTTGGTTGGAGCGTCATCCTGTACACCAAAAGGTTTCAGGTTTGATTCCCCATCGGGGCACATACCTAGGTTGTAGGTTCCATCCCCTGTTGGGGCGCATATTGGAGGCAAGCAAATGATGTTCATTTTCATATCGATGTTGCTCTGTCTCCCTTCTGTTAGTGTTTTGGATGGTGACACAGGCTGTGACAGAATTCACAACTAAAAGAAGAGATGCAGAAAGGAAGTATATTTTTCTTTCCAAGCAAAGAAAGGGCTGCTGTATCATTAGTCAATACAGGGCAATAAACAAAGGGTGCCTTCCACTTTTAAACAATAATGGCTACCCTAACTAGTTTGGCTCAGTGGATAGAGCCATGAGCCTGTGGACTGAAGGGTCCCAGGTTCAATTCCAGTCAAGGGCACGTACCTTGGTTTGGGGCACATCCCAGTAGGGGGTGTGCAGGAAGCAGCTGATCCCAGTAGAGGGTGTGCAGGAAGCAGCTGACCTTCTCCCTTCCTCTCTGTAAAAAATTAATAAAATATATTTTTTCAAAAGAATAATGACTGCTGTTGCTAGGTTATGAGAAAGGGTGGGCTTTGTGTTGAAGTTAGGCTGTTTACTTACCCACTCAGGAACCTACCTACCTTAGACTTATTATTCCATAAGGCAATAAACACCATTATTGTTTAAGCCACTCTAGGTTGTATTTGTTTCATGGTCTAGAAGCATTCTGTTAGAGCATCTTGCTCAGGAGCACTCTTGCCCTTTTTTTACTTTCCTGTAGTAGCAAATGGAAAGGGAACACTTAATCCTAACTGCTGTCAGGTCTGTGTTTTACTCACCAATTTTATTTCATTCCTGAAGAGGACAGGGATGATGTCTGTCTTACTCATTGCAATGTATCAGGTGTACCAGTTAATAATGCAGATTTTTTTTCAATAGATGAAGTTGCAAGTATGTTGATATATACGTGATTTGATATGTATGCTATTTTGTTGTATTGACAGCAAGCTTCAAAACTTCATATGTCATATTTTCTGAAGGTGTTTACTCATAGATATATTTATGCTTAAAAATGTGGAATCTCGTGCCATAAAAAGAGCATTTGCGGGAAGTTTTAATTCATTACTTTATTTTGAAGTGCTGCTGAAAGTTACCTTATACTTCGGGAAGCTTATGGTGAGCATGCTCCATCTCAAGATACTTGTGAACGCTGCTTTAAACACTTCAAAAGTGATGATTTCGATATAAAAGACAATGTCCAGGTCAACCTAAATAGTTTGAAGACCAACAATTACAAGCATTATTGGGGGTGAAGATGCATGTCAAACTAAAAAACAACTTGCAGAAAGATTAAATGTTGTTCAGCAAACAATTTCCAGTCATTTACAAGGAATGGGAAAGATTTTAAAGGAAAAATTATGGGTGCCACATCAACTGAACAAGAGACAGACGGAAAACCTAAAAGTCATCAGTAAAATGTTGCTTCAACAGCACGAAAGAAAGTTTTTTTTGCATTGAATTGTGACTGGCAATGAAAAGTGGATTTATTTTGAGAATCCTAAACGCACAAAATCATGGGTTGATCCAGGTCAATCATCAACATCGACTGCAAGGCCGAATCGCTTCGGAAAGAAGACAATGCTCTGCGTTTGGTGGGATCAGGAAAGTGTGGTGTATTATGAGCTTCTAAAACCAGGTGAAACCATTAATACTGATTGCTACCAATAACAAATAATCAATTTAAACCATGCTTTGATAGTAAAACAACCAGAATGTGCCAGAAGACACTGCAAAATAATTTTGCTTCATTATAATGCACCATCACACACTTCAAAACCAGTTAAAGACATGTTAAGAGATCTTTTCTGGGGAATATTAACCCACCCACCATATTCATCAGACCTTGCTCCTTCAGATTACCACATGTTCTGATGGATGGCACAACGTACTTTTCTGAGCAGCACTTTAAAATGTATAAAGAAGTGGAAAATTTGGTCTCTGAATGGTTTGCCTCAAAACAAGAAATGTCTATTGGGACGATATCCACAAATTACCTAAAGATGGGGGAAATGTGTAGTTAGTGATGGACATTACTTTGAATAAAGCACTTTTGAAGTTTCTCTTGAAATTATCATATTTTCTTTGATTACAATATCTGCATTATTTTATTTTATTTTTAAATATATTTTATTGATTTTTCACATAGAGGAAGAGAGAGGGATAGAGAGTTAGAAACATCAATGTGAGAGAGACATCAATCAGCTGCCTCTTGCACACCCCCTACTGGGGATGTGCCCGCAATTAAGGTACATGCCCTTGACCGGAATCGAACCTGGGACCCTTCAGTCCTCAGGCCAACCCTCTATCCACTGAGCCAAACCGGTTTCGGCCAAAATCTGCATTATTAACTGGCACACCTGGTATATTCATGCTAGGGTTGTACAGTAGATTCTCAGAATTTGCTGAAAATCTGAAGATTTTGAAATATTTGGTCATCTCCTGCTTAGTCAGCATAGGTTTATGATTCAAAGGCTATATTTTTTACCCAAAAAACTTGAAAGCAGGTGCTCAAACAAATACTTGTTCCTGAATGTTTGTAGCAGAACTGATCACGATAGCCAAAAGATGGAAACAACCCAAGCATACAATAACTGGTGAATGCATAAACAACATGTGATACAATGGATTAATGTTTGGCTCTAAAAGGGAATGCGGTACTGATACCTGCTGTAACATGAATGAATCTTGAAATAATTATGCTAAATGAGAGAAGCCAGACATAGATATTATATGATGGTATTCATATGAAATGTCCAAATCCATAGAGACAGAAAACAGGTGAGTGGTTGCCAGGGGTTCTGGGGAAAGGGGATGAGGAGTCACTGCTTCATGGCCATGAGGTTGCCTTTTGGGG